TCTATCTGATATCTTTCTATTTAATTATGTTTTCAGTTATGTTATTAATAAGTTATTTCTTTTCAGTTATGTTTTCTTAATATTTATTTATGTTGTTTATTTCTAATTATGCTTTCTTTATATTAATTTATTTTTTTTCTTTCTAATTATGATTTTAATTATGTGTCAGATATGTTATTAATATATTGCTATTAATTATGATTTCTAAGTTTTAGGTAGAATCCATGAGATAGTGCGGGCAGCTATTTCAGCATCGTGCAGAGCTCCATCATTCTCCAGCAATCTTATCTATTTATACGTATTTATTTCCTATGTTATATATTCTTTCTCTTTCTCTAATTCATCTTCTTTTTTTCTTTTTCAGGGATAATCGGGCAATCATGCAGCAATATTCAATATGTCTTTTCCTTTCTTTTCCTTATTTTTTCCTTAGCTTCTTTTTTTTCAGGATAGACCATCAAGGCATAGGTCCACCTCTGGTCGAATGCGTCATCGCCTGGCAGGATTCATCATCGATTTTTACGCGAGAATACGGGCAGGATAGGAGAACACTGGCGCGTGTGTCGGCGTGCACAAGCGTGGGTGTTCACGGGCGCGATTAAACTTCGTTTGATTGTTCGTATCGAAAACGCGAATTTAGAGTAGAATCACCGTTTTTTAATACTCACGTGAATGAACGCGGGCGCGACTTAAAAGTCCTACCGGGGACTTCGTTTATATTTGCTCGAATATTCGATTAGATTACCTCGCGAACGCGTTTTTTTAAAATAGAGTCACCGTTTTCCGAACACTTGCGTGGGTGTCCGGGCGCGATTAAAAGTCCTATCATGGACTTCGTTTAGTGTTGAAATTCGGGGTGCGCGAACGGTTTACCTTGTAGTGCTGTACATAGCTGGCTGATATTATGACAATCCTCATATTTGGTAGCGGGGCGGAAATCCCGACAAATATCATGGAAAGTCTAAATACCGGTTAGCATATGTCACTTTGGATTTCAACTTAGAGTCACCGTTATTCTAACACTCACGTGAGTGTTCGCGTGCGCGATTAAAAGTCCTACCGGGGACTTCGTTTTGTTTGCTCGAATATTCGATTAGTTTATTTAGAGTAGAGTCACCGTTTTTCGAACACTTGCGTGGGTGTCCGGGCGCGATTAAAAGTCCTATCATGGACTTCGTTTTAGTGTTGAAATTCGGGGTCCGCTTCGGATTTCAACTTAGAGTCACCGTTATTCTAACACTTACGTAAGTGTTCGCGTGCGCGATTGAAAGTCCTACCGGGGACTTCGTTTGATTTCTTCGATATATCGATTAGATTACTTCGCGAATTTGGATAGTACAGTAGAATCTACGTAATTATAACACACGTGAGTGTCGCGAACGCGATTAATACGCTTTGATTGTTCGAAATTCGGATGCACGAATTCAGATGTGCTTAATAATTCGTTATGCCTGAGGCGGAGGGTGTTGAACGGTTAAGCTTTCTGTAAGCGGAGTCCCTCTAGCTAAGGCTAGATACTTCCTGTTAGCTTTGTACCATGCCCAAGATGTCCGAAGCGGAAGGCATGAGGGATCGGTTTCGCGTAACGCGGATTTTAGAGTAAAGTAGAGTCACCGTTAGCCCGTGGGTCTCCACATGCAGCAACCTCCACGTGGTGAGACCTGGGTCGTTAATACTTGCAAAGTTTAATTGTAAATTTTTAAATGCAAGTATTACCGAGCGAATGGCTGCATATTGTATTACTTTTCTAATATCTTTTCTAACTAATTCCAACTAATCATTAACATATGTTCATTTTATATAGCTAATAATACTTCAAAAGAAGAAATTTAACAGAAATATATTGTACAATATTTTCTCAGAGAAACGAAAAGGAAATTTCTCTATCTCTCTTTTATGTTAGCTGTCATTTCTATTTATTCTTATTTTCTTTCATTATTCTTTGTGTATTTCGGGTGGGACCCATGGGAGGGGCCTGTGGGCGAGGGCTTCTGTGCGGGTTGCTGTCTCAGCATCATATAGAACTGTTTCTCTTGTCTTATCTTTTTGGGGCTCTCTATTCTTCTCTTTCTGGGACTCTCTTTTCTTTCTTCGGCTCTCGTTTCTATCTCATATTATTCATTTTTAATTATGTTTTCAATTATTTTATTATTGTGTAATTTCCTTTTAATTATGTATTCTTAATATTTATTTATGTTGTTTCTTTCTAATTATGTATTTAATTATGTGTTTATGTATTTAATCTATTTTTATTAATTATAATTTATAAGCTTTAGTTAGGTTCCATGGGATGATGCATTCTGCTTCTCTTTTCGTTTCTTTTTCTAAGTCTCTTATCTATTTATGCATATTTTCTATTTGTATTTTGTATATGTGTATATATATTATTTTCTGTTTTATATATTTTTTGTTTTTTTATTAACCCTTTAGCTTTTTCTTTTACAGTATAGACCATCGAGGGATAGGATCATCTGCGACCGGATTGTACATCGCATGGCAGGATTCATCATCGATTTCTACGCGCGAATACGGGAAGGATAGGAAGAACACTGGCGCGCGTGTCGGCGGGCACAGGCGTGGGTGTTCTCGGGCGCGATTATATTACGTTTGATTGTTCGAATCGAAAACGCGAATTGTAGAGTAGAATCATCGTTTTTCTAACACTCGCGTGGGTGTTCGGGCGCGATTAAAGGTCCTACCGTGGACTTCGTTTGATTTCTTCAAAATTTCGATGGGGGTACTTCGCGAATTTCGGCTTAACAGTAGAATCTACGTAATTATAACACACACGTGAGTGTCGCGACGCGATTAGTATTTCTAAGGAGTGCGCTTTGATTGTTCGACATTCGGAAAGCACGAATTCAGATGTGCTTAATAATCCGTTATGTCTGAAGCGGACGGTGCAAATGGTGGAGCTATCTGTAAGAGGTATGCAGTAGCCAAAGCTACGCATACCCTGTTAGTTAAGAAGCCAGTGCATTGAAGCGGAAAGGTATCGCGGATCGGTATCGCGGAACGCGGATTTTAGAGTAGAGTCAACGTTAGCCCGTGGGTCTCCACATGCAGCAACCTCCTCGTGGTGAGACCTGGGTCGTTAATACTTGCAAATGATTGAAATCTGATTGTAAATCATGCAATGCAAGTACTACCGGGCGAATGGCTGCATATTATAATGTATTTTCAAAATTATTTTCAATCTAATTCTGATTAAACATTAACATACTAACATTTTTCATTACCAATAATTCTTCTTCAGGAAATTAGATAACACATAGTTAAATTCAAGGATAATTTCTTTAAATTCGTATATTTGTATTCTAATTATCATATATATTAATTATATTTATTATTCTTTATGATTTTATCGTGAAACAAATATCTGTCATGTATCTGTGAGAGACGCATGGTACTATCAAAGGAAAATATACATATAAGGGACTGAAAAATGTGAGTTTGTGAACCCAATTGTTATATTCGTATGAGAGGGGAATAATCAAACAAGCTTATACAACAATGCGATGGACGCATCGTGAGGACAGCGTTCTCCGGTTGTATTCGTAGTTCATATTTTGTCCACACCTGGCTCTGAAGTCGCACACGCTTCGAACAAAAGATAGGGAACAGCCTTAACGTAACAAGGAGACACGATCTCTAACAGCACACACGAATTCAAAAGAGCGTTGATTGGTTGCCGCGAAGCAAGCGAGTACTTTGGACACATATGAACGATGCATCACTTTGTATATCACGCGATTGTACATATAAATTAATTTATTAATTTTTAATGTTTAAAAAGCAAAAAGCCATTAAAAATGTAATTAATATGTAACATGAAATAAAATAAATATTTTCTTAGTTGCTAATTTAAATAGATCTTTCCTATACTTTTTTGTTCCCATACACTTGTTATCATACGTACGTAACTTCTCTTTTTACAACGTAAGTCAAGAATAAAAAATAAATAAAAAATAACTATATAAAAGTAATTTCAAAATGAAATAATAAATAAATAATATTACAATTTTAATATATATAAAAAGTTATTAAATTTATTTAAAAGTTATTAATATTTATCTATTATTTCTGTTAATGTATTTCATAAATAGTTGTCACAAAATATTTTTGTTAAACATTTGTAACAATAAAAAATTGTGGATTTTAAAATTTAATTATTATTTACTAATATGGTAAATTATTCTTTCACTGAATTCTCTGGTATTGAATTCATTCGTCTTATAATTATAATTCTCTGAGAAAGAATGCAAGAAACGTGCCCAGACGATAAAACTTGGAATTAAAAAGAAAATTTTTTCTTGTACCTTACAACATAAATAAACGTTTATAATAAGGAGAAATCTTGGCATCTTTCAAAATTGGTTGAGGAGATAAATATATTTAACATATAAGAATAGAATGAGAAAAAATTAAGACATATTGTTGCAATTAAAAAAAATACAATTATTATAAACTAATCGATGAATATAATTTCAAAATGTATATCAATTTAAGATTAAAACATTAATGCAATGAAATAATTAAATAAATAAAAAATCACAATGGTAAAAAAATTATACAAAAAGATTATATCGTTTAAGCAACAAAAAAAGAAAAAATTAATTAAAACTGTATTAAAAGAACTTCTTGTCTCTTCTTTCGGATTCAACGTATGCTTGCATATACGTTGTATCTCTGACGCTGTCAACGCACATAAATTAAAAAACTGTGCTGACAATGAGACATCAGGCAATCTATAGGATCGTTAATTTTTTGCAGAATAGACGCGATACGAAGTCAATATGTATTCCGTAAGAGAAATAAAACGTTGATGGCATAGCAAAAATATAACCATGAGAATTCATCGCGTAAACCCTTGCAAAGGAAGAGAATCCCCTTACGTAGTATACATATGTATATCTCTTTATGCTAAATCAGAAAAGCTATGAGAATCAAGCCAACTTCTTTTCTTTCTTTTTTTTCCCTTTTTTTCCTTTTTTTTTTTGTCGAGAAGCTCATATAAAGCAACTCGATATTCAATATCCGAATATCCGTATATTGGTTGATAATATGGTCAAGAGGAAAGGGGGAGGACGAAGCTTCGACTGTTTTGACACGAACGCGAAGTAGCGCTACTGTCATAAATCCAAAGAAAAATGTCTAAAAACAAAGATTTACGTTATGAATTCACATGTTTGCAATTTTTTGTCCGATTTCGAGTATCAAAGGATCATTCGAAAAAGATTTTTTTCCAAATGAAATTGACATTTTTTTTTAAATTTGACAAGATAATCTTCTATAAGGAAAAACGTTAGAATACGTTAGAAATACGATAGAAAACGATATTTATCTTTCGAACTGATTCCAAAATTCTTGATCACCAAAATCGGACAAAATTTGCAACTATCAATATTTCTGATGCAAATACTTGCAAACGCATAAGAAGAAATTTTAAAGAAACAACAAACCTGATGGTACTCTTCCACCAAGCCATTTTCAAGTCATTAGCTTTTATCAATGTCTTTTTAATCGTTTGTCTCCATAACCTTAAAATCCCAAGCGCGCTTAATTTGATTGAAACTTCTATAACATGTACTTATAAATTATTATGATGCATCTTCGTTTGCTTTCTTCTTTTCACAAAATTAAATGTCAGAATCTTAGGAAAAATTATTGACAGGCCAATATCATTATATTTTGATTATAGAAACTAAATGTAAAAAGAAGAATAAACTTGGATGATTCTTTGGTGAAACTTGTTTTAAATTTTATTTTTTCTCGATTACTGCTTTTCAATACAATTTGTAAAAATAGCATACTATACCAAAATTGCTATACCGTTACTTTTTATACATTTGTCTATTTATATATTTATATCAATATTCCACTTAGTGGCAGTAAGTATTCTTTATAATCTAGTTTTGAAGGATTCATTGCATTTCTCAAATCCATAAGAAAAAGACATAAATAATTGCAAAAAAGAAAGCACAAATCTAAGTGAATGAATTTCTTACAAACGATGTGCACAACAAAAGTATGATATGAATGGCAATGTATGTGCGTGTTGTGGAAAAATTATATCATTACTGAAAAATAAAGTATTTACACGATATATACTTTATATTGTTTGTTCTGCATCGACGGGCCTTTTATATATTCAAATCAAAATAGTTATTTAATTATTCTCAACTTATAATGAATGATAACAGCAATGCAGAGAGAGAGAGAGAAAGAGAGAGAGAGAGAGAGAGAGAGAGAGAGAGAAAGAGAGAGAGAGAGAGAGATAGAAAGAGACATCAATGAAATAATTAATGTGTATATATGCATGTTAGTGTCAAAGATAATTCAAATTTATGAGATCAAATGTATCTTTTTATATATCATTCTTCATTTTATCTTGTATAAATTGTATATTTTACAGTTTAGTTAGTTTGAAAAATGCCATAACATTTTTTTAACATGTTTTAATTTTTCAATCTCTAAAATGAGAATCAAATGAAATATTCAATTGGAATCAAAGAGATCATTGTAATATAGCTCTATCAAAGTGAAAAATAATATTCCATGATTTTCTCTACATCATAGCATTAATTGTTCACATAAGAATAGAATACTGTATTTATGGCCCGTCGAGACAATAATTTTTCCATTTGAGCCATATGGTATACTACGTAAGGTTGCATTAAAACTTTTTACATTATTTATATAGAATTTTAGAGATGCTTATATGCATCGGTATATCCTATCATTTTTATAAACTTTTTGATCCTGTTTTCTTCAACAAATAGATTTTCAATAAGAAATAAATTGTATATCATATACTTATCAATCGATAAGGACATCACCAAATTATGGCAGTCTTTTTCAATGGGATAACTTATCAATTATATTTTGGGAAAAGAATTCTATTATTTAATGCAGTATCTCCTCGTTCAATGGAAATACGTATGTAACTGTGACTGATGTTATATATATATATATATACATATATGTATATTATATATATATAAAACATATATATAACATACACATAATAATATATATACATAACATCTATATGTAACATATATATAATATATATATATATATAATATATATGTAACATATATATATAATATATATATTATACATGAGTATCATCTGCATATAAGATTGAAGAAAAACTTTGTTATAAACTCATTTTGTAAAAAGAAAAACTATCACCGCAAAAACATATTGCTCTTGACAATTGACTACATATTAGTACGTGTACCCAAAATAATAAACGCACCTAATAAATTCCTTCGCAGAGGATTCATGTATACAACTAATAATTGTACTATAATCGCGCAAAATAAAATTAACTTGGGCATATCTACGAAATGCAAAGCGCCTGTGCAGTGAGCTCTTTCATGAGCACCTTCAGAGAAATGTACACTTTTATTCTTCTTCTTTTTCTTCTTCTTTCTCTTCTTCTTCTTCTTTTTCTTCTTTTTCTTCTTCCTCTTCCTCTTCTTCTTCTTCTGTCAACTGCACTGTGATATTATCTACAATAATATAGGCACCCGTGTACATCCATTGAAATTTGTTTTTTCTCTTTTTGTTTACATACAAATCAGGTACACACTCTGAATTTTTTCAATCGATTATGATGCAAAGCACAATTCTCTCTCTCTCTCTCTCTCTCTCTCTCTCTCTCTCTCTCTCTCTCTCTCTCTCTTTTTTTCTTTTCTTTTCTTTTTTAAATAGAACCTGCACTAATCCCAAACAGGAAACATAAATAATTAAATTAACATCGATCGAAAGAATATTCATCATTATTCTTACTTTTGTAAATGTTTCTTTAATAAAAAACGTAACAGCTAGTTTTTTTTTTTTTTTTTTTTTTTATAAACACTGAAAATGTAGATTACAACATAATATACTGATAACAATTCCATCTTATTGTGGAGCGTAGCTATATTTTGTTGTACCAACATTGAAATTATCTCTATATGATATTTACGTGTAAGATATTGTACAAATTTTCCATACATTTTGGACAATGTGCTTGTGTCATATTATGTTGTATCATTTGCAAAAATACGATTTACTATTTTAACAAAACCTGCACGCATGTATATCTTACATTAGCGCTACAATGTCCAAAAGTATAGGTCAAGTATTACAATGCAGCAGGTATATATATAGCATGACAATGTACACACATTCATTCGTTCTCATGTGACCACTCGATGATAACATACACACACCATATAACAATATTCATATATGGCTAATCACATTTACTCCATGCCATAAAGGCTATTCAAGACTAACGACGAGAGATGTGCTCATACACATTGCTCTTTCTCATTGATGTGATCTCGTGTTGAAAAATAAAGAACGATCTATTATATTACATTTAAAAAATTTTTTCTCAGTCATTTACAGTAGGGAAGCATGGTAGAAGTAACGTTATTTTGAATGTATGCGATATCACAAGGCTGATCCGCAGCGGATTTCATCGTACGAAAAACTATGAAACGCTGTACGATACAACATACAGTGTAATGTCGCACTGTTCATTCAGGTCCATTGAGACCAGCTCACACAAGACCGTGTAGTTAGGACGCCATATGTCGGGCGGATCATTTGAGTTCCTGCCCTTCATAGAACATCACTTCAAGTAAGACTTGTATAGCGTTGTGCTTCTACACGTTTCTTTCTCTTGTTCAAGAAGAAACAATAAGTCACGAAAGTTTACCCTCTTCAAACGTGGTCTCATTGGCATTTGTCTGTTCAATCCAGTAACCGATGTGTTCAAATTAGAATTACTTCCTGGACTATTAGTAGGTCCTCCTGCATCAAGTTTAGGTTTTTTGCGAGGGCCAATTGCCTGCAGAGCAGTCAAATTGGCTTCCCTTTGCCTTAATTCTTCCATTTCTGCGCGTTGCATCTGAAAAATAATCAACCATCGACCACTGAGACTCGTCAAATTTTTTTCTTATGTTTATGTTGATCTTTTGTTGGTATATAATTTAAAAAAGAAAAAAAAAAAAGAAAAAAAAGAGGAAAAGAAAATGAAAGAATGGCATTGCATAGATACCTCTTTGGCTTTTGCCTTAAGTTTAGCTTGTTCTGGATCTTCCGTCTTAGCACGACTTTTAGCAGCACGCAGAAGTAATTCTCTTTCTTGTTCTTCATGTCTTCTGCGTTCGACCCTATCTAAATCTTCCAGAAACTTTAACTGCGCTCTTACGTCTTGCGTCACTTCGTATCTTGGATCCACCTAATCAGTATACATATAACGACACTTTATAAATCAAATATCTATATAATCTTATTAACTACTAATATTAATTATAAATATCAATAACTTGGTTTACCTTTATAAGATCTATCCTGTGTTCAGCAATTACTGCCAATTTTTCAACCAAATTTTTTAACCTTTCTTGTGCAGCATGTGAAATCAATGCAGCAACTTCCTGATTAGGTTCTTCTAAGCCATAATTAGAAACTGAAGGAAAAAAAAATGTATGTTTCCTTTGAAAACATCAGTACAATGGATTATATAAAATAAAAATAATAATATATTAATTATATATATTTTATATAACCATTGAGTTGTACCTATTTGCTTAATTCTTTGTTGTAATGGGGTCATGTGTAAGAATATTTCGTCTTTACATGAACGTATCTGTGTCCCTACAAACTCTGTCGAGCCAAGAATTCTTTGAGATTCTTCTGCAAGATTAACGCCACCCATAGCTGCTACATCATTGATGTCATCATCACCACTATGTAAAATAAAAATACATTCTATATTCGTCTTTTTATCATTTCAAAATATTTATTTCAATGACATATCATTATCATTATAAATATGTATACATATGATACAGTAGAAATACTTACGTATATCCAGCCGAAGAAAAAGTCTTCTTTTCTTTTTCTTTGGCAGTGGGTTTTGGCACCAAAGAAGGCACTATGGTCCTGTTAATAATAGAGGGTGTATTGACTGTTTTAGCTTGTGTAGCAGTTGTTACTGTTTTTACAACAGTTGTCGTAGTTGGTGCCTTTTGAACAACAGGCGCAGTAGGACGTATATTGGTAACAGCTACTGTTGATTTTACAGCATAAGCAGTTGGACTGCGTACAACAGTCGTCACTGGGCGAATCTAAAAACAATTGACATTTATACAAATTACAAGATAAGAGTTGTAAGATACATCAAATAAATACTTACCAGCCTTTGTTGTACGGGTTGGGCAGGTCGCGGCACTGTTGTTGTGGCCGTAGGTATTGGTGTCATTACTCTTACTTGCGTAGTTTGTGTAGATGCAACAGGAATTGTAGGAGCGATGGCGGCTGTTGGTCTAATTTGATTTTGCTGCTAGACATTATAAAACAAAGAGTTAAAATGTTTACAAAAAAAAAAAAAAATATTTGAACATTAAAAGCTCATATTATGCAAAACAAACTTTACCTGTGTCACCGTTGATGTCACAGATGCAATACAAAAAACAACATTGGCTGGAGGAGGTTTTATTCCTTCAATGATTAATTCATTCATCACAAGAGATTGACGTAGAAGTGGTAGACTTTTCTTGAGAAAGCCAATTA